AAATCTGCTTTAAGGAACAAATCCTAAGACGTATACACATACAGGCTTCCTGAAAGTCACTCTCCATAGTGTTAAATTCGCCAGAGGTGTTTCATCTCCTCAGTTCATCACTGCCCATTTGATATTCTGTCATCCATGTCATTTCCCATCTCTTTGGCTGTATACAGATACTGGCCACAGCTGCAACATGTTGAGCACAGTTGGCTACCAACCAGCTGGTGTTGCCATTTGCCAAAGACTCCATCATGCTTGCTACATTGCTGATAGCTCTTTTCAGAGAAAAGATTAATGGCCTCAAATGCCATTAACTAGTTGCTCTTACATCTATTTTGCATTCTGCTTTTACAGTTACTTTGAATAGGCCAGGTAAAAGCATGCAAATGGGGAACTAAATGGAAACACAGAGAAACACTGAAACCTTTGCTTGATATGAAAACATCACTTTAGAAATCTCATGTACCTTCTGCTTACATCTCATTTGACTATCAGGAGCCACATTTGCTATGTTTGACAAAAAGCCTCCACTAGCAAACAATGTGGAGAGAAGATAATTTGTGACATGCATAAATAAAAAGATAACTCTTCAGAATCTTCCTATAGAATAAAACTGTACACTGAAATAAACTGAGAAATCGTATCTGTGTATTTGTATCACTGCCCTCTACTGAATTGTAAGTAGAATATCTTCCTACCGCACATTCATTTTGAATTGGATTAGTGCTAAAAATTACTCAAAAATTACCTGACATGCTACTAATTAGAGGTTTGCCCTTCACTGAAGAGAAAGAATTGGTTACTCTGAAGCAGCAGATCTGAATTCTGTAATCATCACATTTTCCAGGCCTGTCCATAAAGATGGTGTAACAACTGCATGCCAGCACAAGTGGCCAATGGCAATTCTGGGTGGCTGTTTTTGCAAGATTTGGGATATTTTAATGGTGTTGCAGTGACAACATGCAAATCAAACAGCAGTGTTTTACAACTGCCAATTATTTCTACATTTTTAAGCAGGTTGGTAGCCTGTGCTCAGTTACTATGAAATGAAGCAGGGGAACCAAGTGACCCAATTAACAAAAAAAAAGCAAAGTCACAACATTCTGGTCATAAATACAAGATTTTTTGAATATGCAAAATGTTTGGGGATTCTGCAGGATGAAAAGACCTTTTGATTTTTATGAAGCTGTGAATAATAAGTTCACACTGACTACAGAAAGTGGAGTGGATCAAATAATCTGAGGTCCTCAAAAATTCTGTATTTATGTATTAGGTGGAATTGTCCCATGCTGCACATTGAGAAAACTTCCCCAGCCTCATACATAGTGGGTTTTTGCAGCTGTCAAGAGCAGTTAAACTTTTTAAAAGGTACTTTAGTCTCCCCATCGGAAATATCAGGAAGGTAGAGTTCACATTTCTACATGTAATCTGCAAACAGATATGACAGTAATTGGTACTGTGTGTACACAAAAAAATAATTTCGGGCACTTGAATGAGAGTGGTACACCAGCTCAAGGAGAAAATTACATCTACCATTAACCACGGTCTCAACAAGAGCATGAGACACAAATGCACCGCCCTAATGGAAAACTGCATGGAAATGTATATTTGTCGTGTGATGCAGGGCCTAGGACAACTTCCACAGTCCCACTATTACTGTACCCAACAATTCATGGCTTACTGTGTTTAGACTCATAAAATGTGAGTGGCACAGAGTAGTATTATAGACTTTGACAAATGGGAAACTAAGATCTAGATTTTCAAGGGACAGTGGACATCTAGCTGCCTCTGAAGTCAATGGGAATGATGTACCTAGAGACCACAGGGCGGCTGGACAGAGAGACCCAAAAGTATGCTTAAAAAGCCACATGAGTATGTACCAGATAAAACCAGATCAGCTTAATCTGCCTCAAGGGCAAACAGCAAGAAAGTAAGCCCCCCATGGTCATTAGATATGTATCAGATTTACTGGTAAATGCAAAAGTGCACGAAACCACATAAACTCTTTATTGTTACCCATGGCAGAATAATGGTCAGGCTCAGGTGATGAAATACAGCTTGGTTAAGCAAGTTGCCCAAAAACCTCACAGGTGGTCTCTGATAGACATGGCCCGCAGCAACTTCAGGAGTTTCGTGTGGGGAGATGTAGTTTGAATTCCCTCTTCAGCTACTGTTTCTATCACTTTTCCCTTCCTCCCACTCTATCAGCCGTCCTTAGCCTTGCTTGCTCTAGCTAACAAAAGTTAGCATGCACCACCCACATGATTTACATGGCTTCTCCCTTTCAAACCCAGGTTGGGTTAGCAGAACATCAGGACCACAGACTGTCCCTTGCCTCTGTTCTGGTACCTGTCATGTGAATATGGTGGGTTCAGGGCTGTATCACCATGTCCATGTCAGATGACCGCAAGTACACATGCCGACTTTAGGAGGCTCTAATAGGAGGGGAAGAGAAGGAGGGGGCTATAGCACATGTCAGTCTCCTGGTAAATCTGTGCCTACAGTGTGCATGGTGGGTTTCGTGCCCTTCTGTGGTGTTTCACTCAGTTTCACCAACTTTTGATTTTGAGAATGAGTTAGGTTTTCCATCCCTTGGCTACTGAAACAAGGGCTTTTGCAGAATAGAAACATTAATTTCTGTAACTCCTCTCCATCTGATCTATTCTGACTGCAAGATTTCCAGGGACAGAAACTATTTGTCACTGTCTCCGGACAGGCTCAGCACAAGTCTCAGGTTTGGACAGTAGCTTCCACGTGTGATATGACACCATGAAAAAAGGAACCTATATAATTAAGTGCTTCTTTAAGAAACCTTGTTCCATTGCAGTGTTTGTGCAAACTATTTCCATTTTGTTCCTGTATACTTTGAAGTTTCTCTTCCAAATTAGAAAAAATCATCCAGAACTATAACTCCTTTGGGCGTGCACCTGCAAACACACAAACTCGCATACGTGCCTTTGAATAGCTTGTTGCTTGCTCATGAACACAAAACAGATTTTTGTTCCTACCAGAAAAGAACACTATACATCATAACATACCTAAGAAGCAACTTAAGCTGTCATCAGCAAAAACATCTGCTCCCAGTACTCATCCCAGTGACTTCAGACACAGGGAGAAGCTGTTGAATGGGCTCTGAAACATTTTGGGAAAGGGAGAGTGAAGGATTCAAATGGATGACAAAAAAGGAACAGTATCAGAATATGCTTCAGAGCTGAGGGCAGAGACACCTTTTGGGGCCCTCCTTAGGCAGTTCCCACTGAAAACAATGCCATTTTCTACTGGAGTAACTAGGAAGGGGAATGCAGTACCCGCAGACTAGTAAGAAAAACATTCTGATCATCCTGATGGGAGCAGGGGAGATACTTCTCCAAAAGAAACAGCTGGCTGCAAAAGGCAAATAGTTTCTCTCTCTTCAAAGGTTACCGTTTGGACCCTGCAGGATGCCAGAGAAGTTGCTGGAGTCCCACTGAAAATGACATTTCTTCTTGTCCATAAAAAGGGTCATGAGAGCACTGTTAGGGCTTCCTTTCTCCACAGCCACAGAGCCTCCATTTTTACAGGGGGAAAAAAGAAAGGGACAAAGAGAGGGAGTAATTGGCAAAATACAATAAGCTGCTGAGTGCCGGAGGGGAGCTGAGTCAGATGTAAATTTGGAAGTTTATGGACTGGCTTCCTTGCCAATTTGTGATGGAGGAAAGGGAAGGGGGATGAAGGAGAAAAGGGAGGAAAGGTTTTGCAGAGCAGTAAATCTCCATCTTTTTTGTTTACTACATGGGTGGTGAAAATTGCAGAGGAAAGTCATTTGTAAAAAAAGATGATGGCTAAGGATGTTGAACAAGGGAAAGCTTAAGAATATGTGTGACCTAGTGGTTTGAGGCCCACAGCTAAGTTAACAAGGCTTTAGACCACTGCAAGAGGCAATTGCAACAGCCAATAACAGGTCAGGCAGATGAAAAGGCTATTAGAAAACAATACAACAAAAGGAAGATATTGTTGATACATGCACTGATAGGAAGACTTCACTCATTCACAAATTGAGGGGCAAATCCAAAGAGAAATGCTAAGACCCTTGTGCCATCCAGTGGAGTAGCAGGCATCCAGTAATGCTGAGGATTTCACCATAGCACTGAGGCTGATATTTGCAAGCTGATGACACCCTCTACCCCAATGCTCATATAGCCCATACCAGCATGGGGTATGTCTGCTTGAGCCACAGACATGCTGTATGGGGAGGAAGAGGTACTGTGGTGCTTCACTCAGGGCTAGTTATCTTTGCCCCTGGAATCTGAGGTAATAAGCTGAGAGATATTTCAGTTTTTTTGCCCAGCAGAGTGTTTTATCTTTTAGTCACAATCATGTTAGGCCCACCTGGTGGGCAGGACCTTTTGGGTCTGCAGGGAGATATAGTCCTCCAGTTAGAGCCTTGCACAGAGAAAACAATCCATAGTGGCTGAACCCCACTGCCAGCATCATGAAGAGGGCAGGGAGACAATGCAACCCCATCCCTGTGCCTTAAAGTAATGAAGTTCTGATCTGCCCAGGTCTACCACCCAGCTCTGTCCTCCAGTGCTTTCTAGACTCTTGACAGTCTCATAAACTTTGCCTTATGAGGCTACTCCAGTTCATGTTGGCAGGAATCATCCCCTAAATCCTTCCTGCTTTCTTCCTACTTCCATGAAGTAGAACAGAACTTCAAAGGGAGAGACATGACATCATACATATCTATGCCAATCTAACATTACTGAGGGAACCCAAATGGGAGTCTCCACTCCCAAATACAGCTCCAAAGCCTGTTTCCAGTGTCTGGGAGAAAAAAAACCCGCAAAAAAACAAAAACAAAAAAAAAAACCAAAGAGGATGTAGCAGGTACCACAGTTGTTGTTTAGACCCCAGTGAATCAGATGCATTTGTACCACAATTATTTGTTCTAACCTGTCTTGGAAATCCCATATATATATACACACAAATGCATAAACATACACTTCTCCAAGTAATGGGCACAATACCTGCTCTAGGTCTGCTGCTGTTCTTTTATTTTCTCCTGTGGCATCTTGATATGGTAAAATGAAGAGTTCGGCAGATGTGGGCAAACCGGGGAGCACTGCGACCAGAATATGCTTGCTTGAAATACCTGTTGCCTGATACATAGACAATTAATGAACAGATAAACAGTGGGGATGGCACTGAATGCTGACAGCTTTTTTGCTAAGGCATCACAGTACTTATACAAATGATGTAGGGTATATCTGGTACAACAGGGAGAATCTTGTTAAAATCCACTGCAGGTAAAAAGTCAGGGATTAATAATTTCCTGATCTAAGTTATTTCACCATGTTCTCCAGTAAAATATGCAGGGTCCTAAGGCAACAGTGATAATCAGACATACCAAAAGGAGCTCCTAAATAACAGTTGCATATGGTACAATTTGCTTTGTCTAAATTTAGCTATTTTAAAGTTATCTGACCATCCCAAGTTAGTCCCTGAGGTTCTTCATTTAGTCAATGGTAAGAAGCAGAATGTTAAAGGGCAAGGTATGTGGGCAGAATTGCACTCTAGAGGTGTGATTAGCCAAAACATCTTAAAGGCCTTGTGGAGACTCAGGAAGAGATAAGATGATGAATCTTTTGAATCCCAAAAGCCAAACAAATTCTTATAGTTCACATCCTGGGTCAACTCCACAAGTTAATGAGGACCATTTTTTTTTCCTTTAGGTGTTAAAGATTGTATTAATCTGCAAAGTTTTAGTTTTTTGTCTTGTTGGCTGAAAACCTTAAGCAACCAGTTTAAACCCAAATCACCCTTCAACACAAATTAGGCAAAATTCAGAAAGAAGTACCCCACAGGCATCACTACCAGGGTCATCTCTGGTCATGGGTTTCAGCTGCTGTTACCATGACATTACACAATCAAGATTGTGGAGTTATTCTCCAGAAAAGGAGCTAGTTTGGCCTTCAGGAAGTTTTGTGAGCCAAAAGAAGGAGAAACATAGTTGGCTGAACCTTCCTCCATTGCCTCTTTGTGTTGTGGTTTACCCAGCAAATGCATTTAAATCTGAAGGTTTTGATTTAAATCTTAAGTTTCCAAGTGCTGAATTTAGTAGGTCACTTTTAAAAGAAAAAAAAAAGTGCCCTCAGATATGAGGGCAGACTACAGCAGCTGGATGCAGCACAGAGATTCCCCTGCAGTCAGGACTTGCAACCCTCTCAGACGTTAATTGGACTTAAAACTCATGAATTCTTCTCCCTTGTAGTTCTGGAGCAACTGCTCGTTGGAGGAAATGAAGGACAGAGGACAAGGAGTCAGTGAAACTGATTACAAATCACCATTATCTGAGCTAATTCTGTGGCTACCCCATGCGTGACTGCTGACAGCCCAGGGAATACCCTGTGGAACTAGGAAAAGGGAACCCTTCCCCTCCACTGCACGCCAAGGAAAAGCACAGGGTTTTGTTGCTGTTGTTTTTTTTAATGTGGATTTAGAAAAAAACCTGTAACGATATAAAGGTCTCATATATTCTTTCCAAGTACTCTGTGAAGCCAGGGCTTGCATTATTTGTGCTTGCCTAACAGGTTGTTATAAGGAGTCAGGAAAAAGACACAGTATTGCCAGTTAATGGGAAGTCTTCATTTTCTAAGGCTGGGAATTATTTTTTTTGTCTGGAAGTTTTGGGCTGATCCACTCAGTTCATTCTTGTCTTCTTCATCTACAGTGAGAAAAAACAATGGTGTGAGCAAATAATTATGATCATAATACAAAACAGGATATTTTGTGATAATCTGAAATTATCCCTACTTAGAGAGAATATCAGATTTTAGTAGAGAACTAGGATTTCTTATGCAGAATTTTTATGCAAGTCTATGGTACTCTGTAATAAGAATGTAATACCTTAATAAAAGTTCATAGCTTTTAGCACAGCTATAATTTCCTATTGAATTATTTAGTTATTCAACCCATTTTTATACAGTTTACTTAATTGCTGTAGAAATCTATTGGGTTTATCTTTAAATTTTACAGGTACTTCTCACAAAGGCTTGTTTAAGGTGAATCACTTAGCTATATAAAGAGGTATAATTAGCTATCAATTTTTTTTTTTTAACTCAAACAACAGAAAGGCTCTTTGTATTTTCACTGCTCTGCTTTTGGAATGTAGCCTTGGTATTGTAGTTTTATAATCCTTTTTTTATGGCTTGATTTTGTTTTATTGAGTTGTTTATATTCTGAAAATTCATCCTGAACATAAATGGATCCTTGAACACCTGATACAGACATAAATAAGTCAGAAGAACAAGCTCCAAAAAAATGTGCTTTTTTTTTCCTTTCCTCCTCTCCTCCTGTCTTTAGAGGAAATTGATGAAAAAAAATCTCAGAAACAATCCAGACAACTTTGTGTGTATCTGATCAGTGCACAATGTCTTTCCAGTCTTTTTGCACAGATGATGCCACAAATGAACATATAGGCTTGCTAATAACATCTACCAGCCTTGTATCCTTTCAAAATCTGAGTATCTTTATTTTAAAAAAAGCGGAAACCTTGTTTCAAACAGTTCCCTTCATTATTTTTCTGCTGAGCTGAGAAATATTCCACATAATCCACTGTCATTAAAAAGAATAAACTGAAGGCTGACTCTGAACACCAGATTGTCATAGGATGGGATAATTTCGCCCATCTAAAATTTAGAATTCTAGCCTCAAACACTAGTCTAGTCTCCTTTTATAGTTGGTAGAAAGAAAGAGACACCTTGAGAGAATTGCTGATCCAGTCCTAATGTAGGCAGAAAGCAGAAATTAGAACCATTGTAACACAGGTTGTGCACATTCCTTACCTCCACCAGAGCTCTCTTGACTACTCTACTGACGTCCCTTCTCCACTCTGGGATATCTGGATTGTAGTCATCCAGGTTCAGAGAGAATGATAACCGCAGGGACTGAAATTGCTCTGCAGATACAATGACATGGTGGTGAGTAAAGACTGTGAAATGCCTTAGCGCCAAACAAGTGGGCAGAACCTAGTGAAACCTGCTGCAGACCATGTTTTGCTTAATCAATCTGCAGGTGATGCACAGACTGTCAGAGAATCTAGCAGTGTGTCTGAGAGATTCACTGGGAGATTTGGAGAATCTGAGAGATTCACAGCTCGAGTGTCACGGAACCGAAAACGGTGATCAGTCCTTACTTTAACAGATGAATAGCACTGGAAAGGGAGCTGTGTTGGGAATGTAATTGAAATGCTACCTTAATCTTGACTTCTGAAGCAGGCAAGCCCTGTGAAAGAAGCTGTGATTGTACTCGCATAGACATGCCCCAAACACTTGAAATCTTAACTGGAAGGAGACAGGGATAAAAGTGGGGAGAGGACTAGCCTTGGAAAACGTACTTCTTAATCTCTGTTGCTGTTAACAGAGATGGCCACACTGATCACTAAGACCACGTGCTTAGTATAAACAGCTAAAACTGGTATTCCCAGTGGTTCTTAGACTACATCTACACTATATGATATTTGTGTGCCCTAACTGCTTCTGAGGCCTGAGTACAATATCAAATCAGTACAGATTTCTGTACAGAACTGTACAGCGTTGACTGATCTGTCAAGCTAAGCAGCTTTTGCATGAGTTAAGAGGCCTCTACTGGCCAAGAAGGGGGAAAATCAGCTCGTGAAACAACCTAACATTTTGACAATCCTGTAGGATGACCAAATAGTGATAGAGCAGAGGCAGAGGGCTCTGGGAAGGAGATCAATGTTCTGCAGTCATCTCAGTCTGGACTAATGTCAGTCAGTGGTCTTCAGAGATGTTATGCTGAACTGATAACACTGGAACCGAGCTTATAATCTCACTCAAAGCATCCTGGGAGAAAGACCTCATGTTGCTTTCAGCTAACCGGGCTCTCTAGCTCTTGACTATGGAGAATCCTATATGAAATGAAGGGGGAAGAGCTCACCATACACAGCAATAGTCTTTGTATCCTGAAGAATGGTGTTTCCTGCTGAGACCTGAACGGTGATGGTGTTCATCCCTTCCACAGAAAATGTGAATGTGATGCTCCCTTCCAATGTGATCAGTGGCTGAAAATATATCAGAAAAGAATAAATTAAGTTAATTTGGCTGGAAAGGAAAAGTAAAAATGAGTTTGGCTCTCTAGCCTATTGGGATGGTTTGGGGAGTCAGTTCCAGCTTGGAAACTTAAGACAGAAGGCATCCTGTGACATGGAAGCCTATTTTCTGGAGCGGACCCAGGGATCCAGATAGGGACGTCCTCCTGAAGCTCAAAGTAAGGTGCTATAATTTCCGAAGGAGCTAAGTTTTAAGATCCCAGTATTTCCTTCCCACTTAGCATGCTGGCTGTTCTGGAGCCCATGTTAAAGTGTCCATCTTTGCTGCACTCCCCAGAGAGGGCCAGATCCTAATATGAGGGCCTGCAAGACTCGCTGCTCAGGTGTCACACTCCTTTCCCAGATCTAGCTGTCAGTGATTTGTTTAAGGTCGCTCAAGGAGGTTGTAACAGAATGAGGAGGCAAATTAAGACTTCTCAGCTGTTCTCCCATGTTATCCTTAGACATGGAGAAGTCATTTTTGGAAAGTGATGGTATTTAGAGAGGGGACAGGTCTCCTCAGCTTGCTTCGCTGTGCCAACCAGTTTATCAGAGTTGTGTCCCCTTTCAGCAGTCTCTGCCCTAACTTCTGGTTTTGCTTATTAATGAACTCTGGGCGAGATCTTCAAAGCACCCAGTATTAAGTCAAACTCAGTTCCCGTTGTAGTCTTGTAGTAAAACTCTCACTTCAATGAGAACAGAGTTAGACCAACTCTGATCACTTATGAGCTTAGCAGATCAAAGGGAAGGTTGAAAGGTGACAATCACAGCCTGTAAGTACCTCTAGGGGGAGATGATTTCTGATAGTACAGAGCGTTCTTTAATCTACACACAAAGGCATAACAAGATCCAACAGCTTGAAACCGAAGCTAGATAAATTCAGACTACAAACATAGTGCATGTGTTTAATGCTCAGGATAATTAGCTGTGGGGAAATAGTTGGGGGAGAGGGTAAGAAAGAGAAGCAGTGAATTCTCCATCATCTGAGGGAAATTATTAACGCAGAAGAACAAAACCAGAAAGTCAGGTTCTGTCTTAATCACAAAGAGTTAAATAAAGCAGAAAGCACTATGAAACCCTCTGACCTGCATTATACAGAAGATAACCATGTATGGCTGAAGGTCCCTCTTGGCTCTACAAAATCCATGAGAATCTCTCCCCCCAGAAACTGATTAGGGTCTCTGGGTACTTCAGCCACAAAGATATGTAAAATAACAGTTATAATGCCTGTGCAGATTTACCAACACTGCAAGCATACAGGCAGCAGAATGTGGTGCATGCTGTTCTCACATCTGAGCAGAGCCAGAGGCAGGGAGGTGTGTTGGGAACCATTTTATCCACCAATAGCCCATGATAATAAGGTCTTCTTGCACATGTGGTTTAGCACAGAGTGTGGGGGCTCAGGATTTGGCTCAGCATATTTAAGGGGAGGCACAGAACTGATGGCGGTCTCTTCCCTTGTTAGTCACCAGAGAAATGAGTTTTAAACTCTAGGGCTATGTCAAGTCAGTTCCAGATATAAAAAAAACTTCTGTTTGAAAGGTTAATTTCCTAAAAAAACCCTAAAACCCCCAAGTTTTTTTGTTGTTGTTATTGAAGAAGGGAGGGTGGGGAAAAACATACTAGAAACTCTTCCAGATTTTGGTTCACTATGTTCACCTTGGATATAAATGCAGGGAGAAAGCTATGGGCAATTTGCATGAAATGGCGATAAACCTTACAGCTAAGTCACAGCAACAAACACAAAGCAGTTCTTACATATCAGTGTTGGTACGTCAAAGAATCATTAGTCTCTCAGTCCCTGGTTTATAATTTTCTTGTGTGTGTGACTATTTAGAAGCACTCCCAGACCCCTCTTTCCCTCCCTCCTCAGTCAGAGAGCTCCTCTAGGATTATTTTGATCTCAGCCCATAGGGAATACAAACCTCCGTGTTGTTCCCAAACCACCAGACATAAGTAAGTGTTCCCACTTGGCTTGGCCACAGTACTGCCGTGGCGTTGACCTCCTTGTTCTTTGTGGTGACGAATGGGAGAGATAAGTGAACATGCTCCAAGGGGCCTGCAGAGACAGAAGCAGCAGGTGAGTCCTCCCTCTGTCTGAAATGTCAGCCTGGGGGAGAAGGGAACTGAGGGGACATCCATTGGTTTAGGGGAGAGAAGTCCTCCAAATTGCTGTGGGGCATGATAGTTAATATTTCGGCTTGGTGCCATTTCTACAGAGGCAAGCTTAAATCTGTTCCTCATAGAACAAGAGCTACCCCTGTACCTGGAGCTGAAAAACTTGGACTCTCTACTGCATGAACGTCATATACTCAGAGACTTTATATACAACTTAAACAATAGGGGAAGAGCCCTGTTATGTGAATACAGCCTTCACCAGGCAGACATAAGAATGTGCAGGACAAATGGCTTCAGTGGACATGAAGCATCTCTGCTGATGCAAACTGCTATAATTTGGTGAACTTCAGCAGCGGTGTATCTATTTATATCAGCTGAAACTCTGTCTGAAGGCAGCTATTCACTGAGTGCCTTCATTTTAATGTTACCTTATACTCGTCCCTTTTCCTCAATAAACTCTCTTATTTCTTTAGTATAAACAGAACATAATTCATTCGGACAAGTGACATTATGCCCAGGGTTACACATTTTCTATCTTCTGGAGACAGATGGGCCTTTGCTGCTACATCTTGTCCTATAGATTATTTTTTAAAATGTGTTCTGACTGTTCACTTAGAGAACAAAACAATTGCCCTGAGAGTGACAGAGAAAGAAAAAGAAAGAAACCCCAGGTGACATGGGAACATGGTTTCTTAAACAAATTAAGGCCACATCTACATGTCCTACATCTGCAAGCTCCCCAGTGATGAGAAGCAGAGACCACAGCTTGCAAGGATCGATTGCATTGTCCATATGGAGTTAAGATACATTGCTAGAGGATCTTATATATTTCATGAGAGGATTTTTCAGGACATATCCCATGCATGTATCACCACTTAGACCTTGCTTTTCAACCTAAAGGAACACCACACATTTGGAGCAAGCAGTCTGTACCCCTTATACAGCACACATAGGCAGAGAGAGAGACATATGGAAAAATTATCCCAAATCAGACTGTATAAACAATGGCAGTATAAACAAGGACCAGTGTTCCTGACTCGTTACTGAAAGGCAGCTTTCTCTGGGATGTAGACACAGCTGCTGCTTAACCTGACGCAGCCCAATTAAGAGTTATCCATGATCAGACTAACCAAAGCCTGCTATAGACCAGACCGTAGTTCATTTTTCCTTTTATAATCAGCAGTCAATGCTCTTGAAAATTCATGGGAAGCCAGAATTTCACCCTAATGTTTTTAATGGCATTCCCCTGCTCAGACACATTTCCGTGACCGGGCCAGGCCTGCTCTCGGAAAGATCCCAAGACCTGACAAACAGCAGCTTCCCAGGTTAAATATTTTGCAGCTCTGGTATCCTTTGGGATATTTGCCAAATGCCCAATGTCAGCACAGCCCTCTAAAGGAATAAATTTCCTAACACCGGATGCGGTGACAGCAGTGACAATGGAGCCCATGTAAAGTCTAATGCACTCCAACATAACTGCACAGCTGCTCTGAATAAGTCTCAAATGATCTTGCACTGCAGAGAGTGCCCAGCATCTCCTTGGACCTCCACCATATGCCGGCTAGGAAAGAGCATGAAAGAATGGCTCAAGCAAGCCAATTTCGCTTGAGTATTTCTGTGCACATAGCTGATGGGTTGTGGTGGACTGGTGGCCAGGTGCCCACCAGAGCTGCTCTATCACTCCCTCTCCTCAAATGGACAGGGGAGAGAAAATATAATGAAAGGTTTGTGGGTCGAGGTAAGGACAGGGAGAGATCATTCACCAATTAATGTCATGGGCAAAACAGACTTAAGGAAATTAGTTTAATTTATTACCAATCAAATCAGAGTAGGATAATGAGAAATAAAACCAGATCTTAAAAACACCTTCCCCCAACCCCTCCCTTCTTCCCGGGCTTAACTTTACTCCCAAATTCTCCCCCTCCTCCCCCCCAGTGGTGCAGGGGGATGGGGAATGGGGGTTGCAGTCAGTTCATCACACGTTGTTTCTGCCACTCCTTCCTCCTCACGGGGAGGACTCCTCACACTCTTCCCCTGCTCCAGC